GGCCTAGTATTTAGGATAAGAGGTGAAAACATATCCAGCCAGTTCATCCCAAGAACCAAGTCACAACCTCCTACCCTCAGTACTCCCATATCAAAACAGAAATATTCATCTTGCATTTGCCACCAGAATTGAGGACAAACTTTATCACAGTACATTGCTTGCCTATTTGCTACATTTACTTTTATGGCACAGGGAATCACCTCTAATTTGAGACTCTTAACCCCTTGGGGATCTACAAAATTGTGAGTAGACCCAGAGTCAATCAAAATAGATAAGGGGATCTTCTTTGCATAACCTAAAATTTCGACTGTAGAGGGAGAACTGAGCATTACCACAGCCACACAAAGAGATATTTCAGCTTGCACTTCCTCCTTAATTTCCTCTCCTGCATCATTCTTGTTTCCACTAGTTTCACCCTCATTTTTCAAAGCCTGCACTTGTTCCATAACTTGCATTTGGGCCTCTGGAATCTCACCTTCCCAACTGATGGTATTAAATGTTTTGGGTGTACATTGGCGGCCAGGGAAATACTTCTCGTGACATCTATAACAAAGACTTTTATCTCTAGTAGCATCAAAAAGAGTGTTTGGTTTGAAGGGAAATCTTTGTCTAGGAACAAGGGTCTTATTGTTAGAGGTTTGGATGTTTTGAGGTTGGTTATAAGTTCCCTGGTAAGACACAATAGCTCTAGAATTGGTTTGAGGGTGATTTGGGTAATGGGAAATTCTAGGAGTAGTGTTTCTGGTCAAGGCTCTGAAAGATGCTTCATAGGATTTAGCTATTTCATATGCATCCATTAGAGATGCAGGATTGGCTAAACCTACTAAGGACTTTGTATATGGTAAAAATCAGAAGACCCGATTTTACGGCCATTGTGACACTTTGCAAGCACATCTCCAAAGGCTCGAGGAACGGCTCGAGGTTCGACCCCGAGGGTTCCCGACGTTCGACCTCGGGGTAGTGTAAATCGATGGTTATGATGGCAAAACGGGAAGTTCCCAAGGCACTTGATTAAAGCTGACCAAGTCTATTAGGCTAGTACAAGCTCGTACCGTGGCATTAAATGGCTATATCAGCCGTGTAACTTTGTAATAAATGCATCTGTGCCATGTTGGGATTTCCCCTGATATATAAAGGGGATCCTTGTCATTTTGTAAAGGGATATACACCACATAATATTGAATGCTAGAACAAGAACATTCTCTGCTCTCTAACTTAAACATATTTTCCTTTGATCTTATTACTTACATTTACTGCTTACATTTATTGTGTTTCATTAATTGTTCTTCATTTATTACTCATTATTGATCATAAAGAGCCCTCATCAAGGCCCTTAGAACTGTAAGTTCTCCATCGACTAATCAGAGCCCCACGACTACCTCGACCTCGAAGGTCTCGTATAAGCCAGCTCGAGGCCCCGACCCCCAGTCACTCGGTTTGAGCATCGCGCTATCCTTCAAGCTCTTATCTTACTTCCTAGTCTCACACTTAGCTTCTACTGCTTAACAACTAGCATAAAAATAAATCACGTATTTTTAGAACCACAAAATCAAATCTAATTGTAATTACCATTTTCACGGTAAACAGTTTGGCGCCCGCCGTGGGGCTAAAAATAATAGTGATTGTTTTCTTGCTGGTTTACTACATAACGCAAGTTATCTTTCACGCTTTTTCTTGTCCAAAGAATCTTTGATTTCAGGTTAGAATGTCAAACTCAGTGAACGCACATGAGAACAACGGTCCTGAGGACCATGGAGAGAATGGTGTAGTTGTTTCAGGTGTCGGTGTACCACCGCAAAACCCTGAGGACACACCAGAACCAATTCCCGTGGACGTGGTCTCGCGCAACGCCCAACACGTAGATATAAGCTCACACACTGACGAGAGTATACGCCAAGAGAATCAACAAGAAGCTCAAAAAACCCCAGCTCGGGAGGAACGAGAGGTTAGCCTTCACGTCATTTTTGAGATGTTGTGGGCACAACAGCTAGCGATCGCTCAACTGCGGAGCCACCAAAAAACTCTGAGCATAGCAGCACCAGAAATGGCTCCTCGAGCCGAACAAGTACCAGAAAGATCAAGCAACAACGGGTCAGCAGCCGATCCCGCTATCATAAAGATGCTCGAGGACCTCACGAAGAGGATTGAATCAGGTGAAAAGAAGATAGAAGCCAACGACAAAAAGGTGGAGACATACAATTCAAGGGTCGATCAGATCCCAGGCACACCCCCGATCCTGAAGGGTGTAGATTCAAAGAAATTTGTACAAAAGCCATTCCCGTCAAACGTCTCTCCAAAGCCCATTCCGAAGAAATTCAGAATGCCTGATCTCCCGAAGTACAACATAACCTCAGACCCCAACGAGCACCTTACTGCTTATACTTGTGCTGTAAAGGGAACGACCTGAAGGATGACGAGATTGAATCCGTCTTATTGAAGAAGTTTGGAGAAACACTTTCAAAAGGGGCCATGATGTGGTATCACAACCTAGCCCTGAATTCAATAGATTCATTTGCCATGCTGGCAGATTCTTTTATAAAGGCACACACCGGTGCATTAAGGTCGCTACAAGAAAGTTCGATGTCTTCAAGATCAAACAAAGAGAAAACGAGATGCTGCGGGAGTTTGTATCTCATTTCCAGATGGAGTGAATGGAATTACCACCAGTCTCCGATGACTGGGAAGTGCAGGCCTTCACCCAAGGTTTGAACGAACGAAGCTCGATAGCTTCAAAGCAGCTAAAGCAGAACCTGATAGAATATCCCGTCGTGACTTGGTCAGATGTCCATAACCGATATCAGTCGAAGATTAGGGTCGAGGACGACCAACTGGGAGCCCCCTCGGGCTCTGTATATCCCAACAGGCTCTTAGCAAAGGAACCAAGGCCAAACAAGGAAAGGTATCAATCTTACACTGAAGATCGAAGAAACGCCCCAAGGCGTAACATACCCCAAAATGATCGAAGGATATATCGAGGTTAGAATCCTCGGGGACTCGTGGGCAGCGTCGGATTCGACAGACATACAAGACCGACGAAGGCACCCCGATTGTCCGAATACAACTTCAACATTGATGTTTCAGATGTCGTCTCTGCCATCGGTAAAATCAGAGAAACCAGGTGGCCAAAACCCATACAATCAGATCCGTCACAAAGGAACCCCAACCTGGTATGCGAGTTTCACGGTATACACGGTCATAGGACCGAAGATTGTAGAAATCTCCAAGAAGAAGTAGCCCGACTGATCTGCAAAGTGCATCTCCGAGAGTTCCTCAGCGACTGAGCCAAAAATAAATTCCGGTAAAGAGAGGCGAACAGGAAAAATGAAATAGAAGAACCAAAACATGTCACCCACATGATTGTTGGAGGAGTCGACATCCCACAGGAACCCATTGTCAAATGAACAAAAATAACCATCACCAGGGAAAAGAGAACTCGGGGTGACATACCCAAGGACGCTCTCGCATTCAACGATGAGGACATCGAGACCTGTCTCAGCCTCATAACGACGCATTGGTAATCTCTTTTCTTGTGAATACATTTCAAATAAAATGTGTACTTGTGGATCCAGGTAGCTCCGCCAACATTATCAGGTCGAGGGTGGTGGAGCAGCTCAAACTGCTCGGCCAGGTCGTGCCCGCCTCTCGAGTCCTCAAAGGTTTCAACATGGCGAGCAAGACAACGAAAGGGGAAATCACCTTCCCGTTCAACGTGGCCGGCACAACCCAAAACGCCAAGTTTCATATCATCGAAGGAGACATGAGATACAATGCCATACTCGGAAGGCCATGGATACACTGCATGAGAGAAGTACCATCAACTCTTCATCAAATGATGAAATTTCTAACAAAAAACGGAATAAAAACTATGTACGGAGAACAACATGCAGCAAGAGAGATGTTCGCGGTGCACGATGTGGCGCTGGGATCGATGCCTTCAACATCAAAGGAGCTAAAGGACAAGCAAACAGGGAAGTATCAATCACGAGATATATTCTCGGCTACACCCGAATAAACAAGTAAAGGACCGTACCGCGCCCCGGAGCAAACGATTAAAGCACATCAAGGCTCGAAGCGCCATCACCACTAAGGTATAATCGTCTCCCTTTTTAATTTACATCTTACACTAACCTGTGTACAGGTGTCCGATCGGAACAATCGATGCGCTTTCCAGCTTGAAGACCTCAGGTTTTAAAGCATGCGTTGCACTCTTTTCCTTCGATCGGGTTTTATCCCAAGAAGGGTTTTACCGGCAAGGTTTTTAACGAGGCAACATAGATATGCTACCTGAGGAGAACTTAACAAGTATTCAAGGCTTCCCTTCGACCAACCTCGAATAATGGGGGGGACCCCCTGGGAGACCACCCCCTTGAAGAAGTCAAGTTTGAAAGTAAAAGGGGGGGGGGGTGAATTGTATATTTTTAAACTTAATCTCTGTTAGTTTACTGGTTTTTCAACTAGTTGACTAGATGCAATAAACTAACAGTTGTAATAACAGAATATAAGATATTGAAAGTAAATGCAGGAATTAAAGACACCAGAATTTTTATACTGGTTCGGATTCAATGTGAATCCTAGTCCAGTCCCCTTGGGTTGCAAGGGAGTTTTCTTTAGTGAATGAGTTTCTTCGAGTACATGAGATTAGAAAATTCCTTGCACAAAAGAGGGTTAGCACTACCAATTATAATATCATCAACATAAATCTGAATAATGAGATTACCTTCTGATGATCTTTCAATAAACAAGGTAGTGTCTACATTACCTCTTGTGAAGCCATGATCAATAAGAAAGGAACTAAGTCTATCATACCATGCTCGTGGAGCTTGCTTTAGTCCAAATAGTGCTTTGGTGAGCTTATATACATGGTAGGGAAACTTTGAATCTACAAACCCAGGCGGTTGTCTCACGTATACTTCTTCTTCAATAAATCCGTTCAAAAAGGCACTTTTGACGTCCATTTGAAACAACCTGAATCCCTTAAATGATGCATATGCCAGAAGGATTCATATAGACTCCAAGCGAGCTACTGGAGCGAAAGTTTCGTCATAGTCGACTCCTTCCTGTTGTGAATATCCCTGAGCAACTAATCTGGATTTATTCCTTATGACCTTTCCATCCTCATTCAATTTGTTTCTGAAGACCCACTTTGTTCCAATTACAGAAACATTTTCAGGTTTGGGTATCGGTTTCCTCACTTGATTTTTACCAAACTGATCTAACTCTTCCTGTATTGCTTGTACCCAACTTGAGTCTTTTAAGACTTCCTCTATCTTCTTTGGTTCAACCTGAGAGATTAATGCTAAATTTGCTTTCTTTTTGAGAGCTCCTCTGGTTTTCATTCCTTCATTTGGATCCCCTATGATGAATTTTTGAGGATATTTAGGTTCGCTTCTCCATTCATTTGGACGCACTACATTAGTAGTCGACTTTATCGGATGATCTGGTACACTGCTGCTGATTTCATTAGTTGACTCTACCGTAGCGAATTTATTAGTAGACTCTTGAGATATTCTTGTCTCCTAAATTTCTTGAGCTTGATCTTCATTACCTGCAGTAATTCCTTTCTCGGCCAAGGGATTATTTTCATCGAATATAATATGTACTGATTCTTCCACACATAATGTGCGTTTATTACAGACTCTAAAAGATCTACTATTTAACGAGTAGCCCAGAAAAATGCCTTCATCACTTCTTGGATCGAATTTTCCAAGGTTGTCCTTGCAGTTATTGTGAATGAATCACTTACTTCCGAAGGGATGAAAATAACTGATATTAGGACGTTTACCTTTCCATTGTTCATAAGGAGTCTTCTTCAGAATGGGCCTTATGAGACATCGGTTGAGAATGTGACAAGTTGTACTTAGACCTTCTGCCCAAAAATGATTTGGCAGGGAATGATCTAGTAACATGGTTCTTGCCATGTCTTGGAGGGTTGTGTTTTTCCTCTCAACAACCCCATTTTGTTGTGGTGACCGTGGTGCAGAGAAATTATGAGTGTATCCCTGATCATTACAAAAATCTTCAAATGCTCTACTTTCAAATTCTCCTCTATGATCACTCTGAATTGTTGAAATCAGATATCCCTTTTCTCTTTCAACCTTTTTGTAGAAAATCTCAAACTTCTTAATGCTTTATCTTTATGAGATAAGAAAATTACCCAAGAGAAATGTGAATAATCATCAACAATAACAAAAGCATATATTTTTCTTCCTATACTAGCAGTTCTAGTAGGCCCAAATTGATCCATATGAAGCAATTACAAAGGTTTAGAAGTAGATACAATATCTTTATTTTTGAAAGAGTTTCTGGTTTGCTTACCTATTTGACATGCATCACAGATATGAGTTCTAGAAAAATTCAGTTTGGGTAGACCAATAACTAACTCATGTTTGGACAATTTTTCTATCAAATGCATGCTTGCATGACCAAGTTTTCTATGCCATAACCATGGATCATCAGACATAGATGTTAAGCAAATATGACCATCTATCTTTTCAAGACCATCAAGAATATAAACATTTCCGTACCTTTTTCCTGGGAGGACTGTTTTACATGTCTCGTCTTCAATAGCACAGCCTATTTTTTAAAATTTACCTCATATCCTGAATCACATAGTTGACTTATGCTCAAGAGATTGTAGTTGAGTCCATCGACGAGATAAACTTTAGTGATGTCACAGTTGTTATGGAAGGGAATTGTTCCAGTACCAATTATCTTTCATTTTGAGTCATCTCCAAACTTAACGCTTCCTCCATCAATTTTTGTAACTTCTTTGAACATGTTTTTATCACCTGTCATGTGACTGGAACACACACTGTCTAAGTACTATTTCCCTTTGCGGCTTATTCTGTGTTGTTCCTGCAAAACATAGTGATTACTTTCTTTTAGGTACCCAAGCTTGCTTGTGGTCTTGGAGGGTTAGTATTACTAGATTCAGAATTATTTTTTGGTTTCCAAATCCATCCTAAAACATTTGCTTTACGAAAGTGACAAAAAGAATATTTATGTCCACTTTTGTTACAGTAGTGACACGTAACTTCTGACCCACTTTTAGGTCTTTCATTTGTGTTAGTACTAGTGGACTTTGTTCTAGCTGGTCCTTTTCCTGTTGACTTGTAGGTCGCCTGGTTTGACCTGACAGAACTGTGACTGGTGGATTTGCGCATGCCATTGAGTTACATTTGCAATTCCTCAAACTCTTCTTGAAGAAATTCTTTTTCAATTTCACATACTTCATGTTTGAGTTTCCAGTCGTTGACTTCTTTATTAAGTCTCTTAAGCTCATTCATCATTTTTTGAGACTCTTTCAAAGTTAAATCAAGAATGTCCTGCAAGTCATTGCATCTTTCACAGTTATAAGATCTTACATCACCTGTTTCACCTCGTGCCATGAAACAGTTCTCATTGTCATCTTTGCATTTGTCATCTGAAGTGTCCTCATCCGTCCAGCATCCTGAGGATTTGTTCATCTCGTTTTCCAGAATCTTCATGAAGCAAGATTTGTTATTTCTTCGTGTTCTGAACTGTCTTCATCGCTCCAACTTCCAAAAGATTTGTTCTTGTTAAAGCCTCTGGAATTTTTCTTTTTAGATCTGGGCAGTCGGCTTGAATTTGTCCAAATCTTCCACACTCATAGAATTTTCCATCATTATTTTTCCTGTTCGTTGTATTTCCTGGATCTCCTAGGTGGAATTCTTCCTTTCCTCGTATTCCTGAATCTTCTCAATAAGCCATCCATGTTTCTTGATAGCATAGCAATCTCTTCTTGGAGAGCTTCAGGATCATCATCGATTTCATTTTCAGCTATTTCAGTTGAGGCCTTGAATGCAACTGTTTTCCTTTTTTCTTCTTGACTAGTCTTCTTGAGATGTGTCTTTTCAACGGCTATGAGTTCTCCTCGTAGTTCATCATAGGCTAACTTGTTTAGATCCTGAGATTCAAGTGTGACCACTTTGGTCTGCCACGTGGTTGTTAGACTTCTGAGAATTTCTCTGACTTGATCACCACTCGTATATGGTTTGCCAAATGCTTTTAGATCGCTAATTATTTTGCTGAATCTGGAAAACATCTCTTCAATAGACTCTCCTTCTTTCATTGAAAAGAGTTTGTAATCATTAACCAACATGTTGATATATGTTTCCTTTACTTTGCTGGTTCCTTCGTATGTAACCTCAAGCTTGTCCCACATTTCTTTGGTTGTGTCACACCTAGAGATTTTCTCATAATTATTCATCATTTATGGCATTGTAAAGCAGGTTTCTCGCTTTATTGTTAAGTTGTACCACTTCCATTTGCTCTTTTGTATATGAATCTATATCCTCAGGATCAGCAAGTGGTTGAGCAGCAGCTGGCAGGGGATAGTTCCCCTATTTGATGATTCTCCAAACTTTAACATCATAAGCCTTGGCAGAGATCTCCATATGCACTTTTCAGTGAGAGAAATATTGTCCATTGAAGTATAATGGCCTAACTTGTGAAGTTCCTTCATAGAAGAGAGCCCCAACGATAACTTGATTTGCCATGATCTTTTCTTACAAGCTGTTAACCAAAAGAAAAATATGAGCCTTGCTCTGATACCAATTGAAAGTACCAGAAGGGGGTGAATTGTATATTTTTAAATTTATTCTCTATTAGTTGACTGGTTTTTCAATTAGTCGACTAGATGCAACAAACTAACAGTTGTAATAACAGAATATAAGATGCTGAAAGTAAATGCAGGAATTAAAGACACCGGAATTTTTATACTAGTTCGGATTCAATGTTTATCACAGTCCCCTTGAGTTGCAAGGGAGTTCTCTTTAGTGAATGAGTTTCTTCGAGTACAATGGAAATGTCGTGATAGCTCAGTTCCTATATCACTCGTCTCTTTTGATACAATGCCTCACCAGTGTTGTTCTCTCTTTCTTCTCTAACTTGTTATACTGCAGGTCTTAGAGAGCTACAATGTTTGTTTGCAGTAGAACAAAGAGAGGGTGTTTGGTTCGATCAAAAGTATGTCTAGCTAAGGTGTGATTATAGGTTTAAATACTTTGAGAGAGAGGCTTGAATTCTTGAAAGATTTGCCAACCCAAGAGATTTGATCCTTGAAAAGAGATTGATTCTTCCCAAGAATAAAGTTGTTCTGTAACGGCTCTGTTGAACTTGGAATCTTGATCCTCTATATTTAGACACTTGATTGAATATTCAGCGAGATCTTGATTAAGCTGATTCCTTGAGTTTAGCTATAATTGATCCCATCTGTATCTTCAGTGATTTCTTCTTCCTTTAATCCGCCCCTTGATTCCGTCAGTATCTTCACTCTTGATTTCATCTTCCTTTAACAACGCCTATATTCCTTCAATCTTGTAACCCAATACATACGTTCCTTGATCATTGATAATTGATTTTGCCAATCCAAGAGTTTCTACACAAAAATAAAATATATTATTTTCATCATTAAAATTAGATCTAACAAAGTTGAGCCAAAAAGGGTCTCGATAGGAAAATGATGCGTCGGGCCAAACTGTTGAATGAACCGTGTCCGCATAGAATAGTTGAACCCTTGACGACGAAAACATGTATACTTGTGCCAAGTAATCAAGGAATATTTTTCCATCAAAACACTTTGCACTTCAAAGAAATCCGCTATTTTTTCAGGAAGCGGCTCCAGAGCTAGAAATTTCCCAAACACTCGGGGACTGACGTCAAAAACTCAAAGTCATATGAACTCCAGGTCGGAAACTTCAAACTCATAAGCCCTCAATGAGGCAACTCCAAGTATACACAAGATGGCTCTAGAGCCAAGAAACTCTCGATGTCTCGGGGACTGTCCCCGACGGTCACCCCATCAATTTGTCAACTCGAGGCTATAAGACCCCATACGGGCAACCTCGAGCTCATAAGACCTTAACAAGGCAATACCAAATATATAAGACCTCAAGCAAGGCATGAGTTATACTTCTATCAAGTAACCAAATCTGTAAGACCTCAAGTAAGGCATGTCAAAACTTATAAGACCTTACAAAATGCGTAATCCCGATCTTAAAGTTAAGGCTATATATTCGAACTTATAAGACCCCTAAAAAGGCATACCATCGATATAGACGCCGAAGATACTTCACTCGGGGGCTAAAAGGCTACGGCCAAAAACAATGACTACAGTCACATGGTTGTACCAGCCAAACTAACGCGACTCGGGGACGCCCGACCGTCGCCATAAAACTCACAGGCCTTCAAATTACTTCGAAAATATTTCAAAAAAAACCGGTTAATCAGGCTACCCTCGACATAAGCAAAAGAGTTTCGATCATATCAGCTCCAAATAATAAAAGGGTTTCCAAACAATTCATGCATCGAGCAAAACCTCCCGAGGTGCTCGCCCATTGTCACATAAACGGCTCGCAATCGAGGTTCTTATCAAACCGTCGAAGAAGTCGGACAAACAAAAAAAACTACAACGAGGGAAAATTGAGCCTATACTAGAGGTCGTACCGACCCTACGCGTAAGAGCCACTATCGCCAGCTTAAACTAAAGGTCGTACCGACCCGATGCGTAAGAGCCACTATCGCCAGCTTAAATTAATGGTCATACCGACCCAACGCATAAGAGCCCAGACGCCAGCTTAAAATTCGAAAACTTAAGGTCGATGAGCTCGAGTCGAGATCCGACTCGAAGACTGAGCCCGAAACAGTTTACCAAAAAATGCCTAAGGGCAAATGCGTAAGAGCCTACGGGCCAGCCCAACAAGCCTCAGGGCCGATTTACAAACCTAAGGGTTTTTGCCTCGAAGTCCAGTTCACCTGGCCAAACATCGACAGACATATGGATTTAAACAAAAAAATAGCGTACACAAGCAACGTGAAATGCATGAAAGATGAAACCAAAAGGCATCCTTTTTTACGTATATACAAAGCTCCATTTACAAAGTTCTCTAAGAACACCGTACAAAGAATTAGAAAAGCAAGGCCTAGCCTACGCTCCCCTCGGGACTGTGGCCCGTCGGCCTCTTTTTCATTATCTTCGGCATCGGACCAAAGAACTTGGCGTCGTATTCATCTGCCTTCGCCTGCGCTATCTCCTCCGAGAGATCGAAGCCCCTAGCATGAATATCTTCGAGAGTTTCCCTCCGAGATTTGCACCGAGCATACTCATTGCTTCTGCACTCCCGATCAGAGGCCCCTCTCAGCTCAGCCCAAGCATTGGCAGAATCGTTTAAATAGACGGCCACTTTCTTGTCAGCCTTAACTCGAATCTCTTCAGCTTCAGCTCGGGCATCACAACCTCGGCCTTCATCTTCAAAAGCTCATACTTGAGCCTTGCAATCATGCTCGTTTGAACAGAGCTGTGCTCGCGAGCATTCCGGAGTTGCACCTCGAGGGCAGAAGCCTTGGCCAAAGCATTCTTCTTGGCCGCAACTTGGGCATCTGTCTGAGCCTTTAGCTCAGTACACTCATGCTTGGCCTGACCAACTTCACCCCAAAGGCATTCCAGATCCTCCGTCCTTTTCTGTAACTGAAGTATCAAAATGTTAATCTTCGAAAAAAGGAGAAGAAGCGTGCACTCCCTCGAAACAAAGGTTACCTGTCTTTCGAGGTAGCTTTCGTAGTCTCGGCTTTGACCCGCCTCGTACCGCAGGAATACCAACTCCCTTGACCTTTTATCACAAAGAAGCCTGAGGGATATCTCATCTTCTAAGGCTTTCCGCAACTCGGCTTCACAGCGAAGTAGCTCGAACTTAAGCTTGTCAAAAGCCTGTGAAAAAGGAGCTCAATAAGAAAATGAAAGGGCAAAATCAGAAAACCAATACAATTGACCGAAACTCACCACAGAACGGAGCCGCTGAGCCTCCTCGAAAGTTGAGGCACGTCTACTAGCCTGGCCTCGTCGGCCTCAGTAGAACTGCTCCCAACAAAAGTATGATCGTTCGAGACCTCGCTTGAGTCAGTGTGAGGCCCCGTAAAATTTTTGGCTCATAAACCAGAATCTTGTGGTGTCGGCTCCGAACACTTGTTAGGAATGTGTAGAATTCGTCCAGCATCCAGATGGCCCCATTTGAAGCATTGTATGGAAGAAGGTGTAGGTCTCCGATTGGGTGGTTCGAAGTGGGTGAAGCAGAACTGATAGGGCCAGATCTTGTGCACCAGGCTATGGAGAAAGTTAAAATCATTCAGGAAAGGATAAAGACTACTCAGAGTCGCCAAAAGTCTTATGCGGACGTTCGTTGGAGGGAATTGGAATTTCAAGTTGGCGATTGGGTGTTCTTGAGGGTATCCCCTTCATAGGGGATCATGCGCTTCGGAAAGAAAGGTAAGTTGAGTCCTAGGTATGTCGGGCCTTATCGGATCGTTCAAAGGATAGGGCAGGTGGCCTATAGGTTGGAATTGCCTCCCGAAATGTCATTAGTGCATCCGGTGTTCCATGTGTCCATGTTGAAGAAAGTGGTCGGAGATCCATCCACCATCGTGCCAGTCGAGACTATCAAGGTTAATGAAGAGCTGTCGTATGAAGAGGTTCCGGTTGCCATTCTTGATAGACAAGTCCGTAGGTTGAGAAATAAGGAAGTTGCCTCGGTTAAGGTGTTGTGGCGAAGTCAACAAGTCGAGGAAGCTACGTGGGAAGCGGAGAAAGAAATGAAAGAGAAATATCCCTATCTATTCGATCAAGTCTAGAAGAAATTATGTGACTTTCCTATCTCTAAAACAATTACCATTGTGTCCAAGTTGATTCCTTCCTAAGTGCTAGTGAAGTTCCTCTAGTTGTGCAAGACTTATAGATGTAGGGATTGTTTCAAGTCATGTGAACATTTCTTTGGTAAATGAAAGCCTTATAAAGACTCTTGTGTTAAGTAATCAAGTAATGGTCGTATAAGTTGGTAATGAATTACTTGTATGCTTGTAATGTGTTGAAATGGCTAAATCATGTGAAACTCATTGCAATAATTGATTCATAAGCAAAGCATATCGAGTGATCAAATGTGTGCATTTATTAAGGTAAGGATTTGTATACTAGCTGTAAGGGTAGTTGAAATTGTGTATTGGTGCTCAGAATTGTGTTTTGGGGGCCCTCTGTCAGGTGGAGATGTTCTAATTACAAAGGAAACTCTGGCAAAATTTTTCTAAAAATTTGGGAATTAGTGAAAGGTGTAGGAATCTGCATAACATGTTTTCAAAACCAAACGATCTTTGAATATACTGAAAAGCTTGAAACAGGTCCTCATTCGGGGACGAATGATTTTAAGTGGGGGAGGATGTGAGGCCCCGTAAAATTTTTGGCTCACAAACCAGAATCTTGTGGTGTCGGCTCCGAACACTTGTTGGCGCGGACCTTTTTGGATTGAATAATGCATTAAAAAGTCAAGAATAAGTTTCCGGAAAAATGTAAGAAATGCGGTCCAGAATGCGGCCGCATAATCGAAATGCAGACCGCATATCTGCCGCAGAGTGAGGCAGAATGTTGGTTAAAATTGAAGTCAGTTATGCGGTCGAAATGCGGTCGCATAATCGAAATGCAGACCGCATAGTCGTTGCATATTTTCTTTTGAATTTTGCGAGGATCAGTTCTGCGGTGCACTTTGCAACCGCAGAACATGAATGCGGACCGCATTCTTACCGCAGACTGAGTCAGAATGTTTAGTTTTTGGGAAGCATTTTTGCGGTTCATTATGCGGACCGCATGTTTACTCTGCGGTCGCATTTGCGACCGCATATTTGACTTGGGGCTCCAATTTTTCTAATTTTTAACCCGACTTCCATATCGATATATCCGGTGTTATAGCTCATTTTAAGCATTCTTCTGAGCATTATAGAGAGAGAGAGAGAGAGGGTTCTTAGAGAGGGAAAGTCTCCCCATCAAATTTCTCCATAAGATACGACTAAATCCTTGAAGAAAATCAAGTGAAGACCCCTAGACCTTCATCTCAAGAGGTAATACTTCATCACCCCCAAGTCTTTTTTGTTTTATTCTCAGATATAAGGGGTCACTAGTGAGGTTATTCATGGGTATAAATGGATTCCTTGCATGCATGTTAAACCTTAGAGTAGTGGGAGGTGGTGAATTAAAGAGGGGTTCAAAGTGATATAAATTGCTCTCAACAAGGAGGCCTAAGATCATATTGCACCTCTAGGGTTTGTCAATATGCTTGAACCAAGCTAGAGTCTCAATCTCCTCTCCAATTCTTGATTTCATTTGTAATTCTTACTCAATAATCGAAGTTCTAAGAGTTCGGAAATTTGTAAAAGAGTAAGGAAAGCTCTATTGAGGTATGTATGGCTAAAACCCCTTTTTTATTAGAAATTGAGCTCCGTTGTCATAATTGAAAGCATGGTAAGAGTTGAATTGGTTAGCATATTGCTTGTTATTACGCATTAATTGATATGCAATTGTCTGTACATATTCGTGAAGGATGTGCCCCAACGTGAATAATGTGCCAATCTTGACAATTCGATAATGACGGAAAGTACAGTTATGTGTGGAAATACTTGGGCTATAAGCCAACATTGGAACAAAGAATTATTCATGCTAGCTATGTGCTCATTTACCTGTGATTGCAATTTGGATTATCCTTGATATATGTGTCTATGTTTACAACTTGTAAAATGAATATTAAAAAAAAAAGGGAAACGATGTGATGATGGTGGCCATGAGTGCCCCAGGAATTGTTATGATATGTGTGGGATAAAGATTTGAAGTGTTGACTAATGAGAATGGAGTAATGCCTCTAACGAGGTGACCTAGCCGATCGGGTCGTGATCAGACACCATGCCGCACACATGGTGGTAATGTGCTGATATTGGATTCCGGATAAAGGAAATGAGATATTGATTGAGAGTAATGCCTCCAATGAGGTGACCTAGCCGGTCGGGTCATGATCGGACTCCGCTTGGGATAGCGGTGGTAATGAGAACAGTGGTGAACACGTGACAGAAATGCCCTAATCAATGTTGTGGAAATTGTATGAAAGATTATATGAATTGCTTCTTTGATTTGCCTATATTATTTGCTTGTCTCTGTTTGATAGTTCTTTCTAGTAGAACCGTGTTTAGTTATACATACCAGTACAATCCAACTGTACTAACGTCCCTTTTGCCGGGGGCGCTACATTCGTGTTATGATTGTAGATGGCTCCATAGCGGACGGTGCCGACCGTGTGTAGCGGAGCGTTTCTTCTACTCAAAGTCTCGGTGAGCCCCTTTCTTCCATGGGGCCATATGGTGTATCTTTTGTTATTATAGCTTTCACTTTTGAGGTATAGCTGGGGCCTTGTTGCCGGCCTAGTCATGCTTATCTGTTGTATCCTTAGAGGCTCCAAAGACACTAGTGTGGGTTATGTGCGGGTGCCCGGGGAATCCGCTGTATGTATATGTTGTAATCCTAACCTTGTAATCTCCTTAAGCTGTAACCCTAATAGAATCCTTGAAGCTAGCTTATGTACGGTAAATTTGTATGACATGAAGTGAACCAGTAATGTGGTGTACAGCGTGTGTTATCGTCTAAATTAATCAAAGACATGATTCCCGTATCCATATTGATTTGGGGTAGAAAGTGCTCGGTAAGGCTTGCTCCGTCGGGTTCACCCGATTGAGCGCCGGTCGCGCTCCTCGGATTTTGGGGCGTGACACTCAGGCGGCCCATGGCCCCGAACATCCCTCGAAGTACCTTCGTCGGGATAAGAAGACGGCACCAAAAAATCATTGTCCCTCTAAGTACCTTCGACGGGAGAAGAAGACGGTGCCAGAAAATCTTTATCCCTCGAAGCACCTTCATTTGAAAAGAAGGCGGTGGCAAAGGAATAACCATTTTGGCGAGCCTAGAAGCCTCGGGCACTGCAGGCTCGACTGATACATCTTCTCTAAGCCTCGGGGCAGGGCTTGCCTCACTATGAGCACCTTCACCCTTCGAGGGTCCCTTCCTCTTGTTATTATTCCTCGGTTCTGAAGCCGATGATCCTTCATCCTCTCCGAGGGGACACAATCTCATCTTAGAAAATTCCCCAATGCCTATGGTGACGGAGTTAGCACACGTAAAAGAAAGTACTTTTCAAAGAAAACAAACCACACAACATGTACTGCTATGTTTTGCCTCCCATCTACCCTTGGACAGATCTCGCCACTTGGGCCCATCATGGGTCGAGCGGGCTGCCAACTTCCAAGTCCAACCCGTCAGGTTGGGGACCTCGTATGGCATCCACATGATTGATGCAAAAAGGAAAGGAAGGCGTATTCTTAGAGCCCGCCTCCACTATGGACAAAAATAGTAATAACACGAGTGTACCTCTTACGTGTGAAATTCCATTTCTCAGGAAATGGCAGGAACTCCACGGGGATAACATCGACAGTCCGTACTCGGACGAATCGACTCATCCACCCTCGGTCCCCATCTTCTTCATCATCGATAACAAAGGTCCTGGCGGATCAACATCACAAAGTTATCAGGCCTCGGTGGTGAAAGGGCCGATACAGCCTAATGAGGTGGCTAAGGGTGAATTCAAGCACGGCTTCCTCCGCAAAGAACCTCATCATCAATACTACCCTCCAGAATGATGGGTGAACCTGTGCCAGGGTAGCCCGATATCTTCGACAGAAGTCAAGCACGACTCTATCGGGAGGGACCAACGTAAAGGGGTACGCGTACACGTTCAGAAACCCCTCTACATGAGCCATGATGCTCTCTCCCAGGGAAGGTACCTGCAACACCACCTTTTCTCCCCATCCGCAGTCTCTGCTCACTACCTCGAGGTGTCCTTCCCCTATTGATGAAATGAACCTCGATGCACACTCCCAATGGCCCTGAACATCGGAAGGACTCTCTTTCGTAAGGTCCCTCCTCGAGACAAAACCTCTTGGGGTTAGCTCGCCGGGCGCTGGCGGTGTACCACCAACCAAGCGGGAAGCATAGGTGGAACTCTCCTCTTCTTGGTGAACAGGTTTGGGCGTGGCAGCCATGAATGTGATGGAGCGAAAGAAGGGAAACAAGAACTTAAGCGAAGCTTCGAATTAAAATGGTGAAAGAGCTGATACAAGAAAGAAGAACTCTATGAAAAGGATAGCTGCTCAAATAGCGGATCCTCAAAAGAAGAGGGAAACGAACTCATATATAGAGCAAGCGGCGACTATCTGCCTACCCTTAAAAGGCCAACTAATGTTGGCCAGGCCATTGGCACTTTCAGGGAGGTGTACCGGCGGGATCACCTCGATCATTTCATGGCCCTGTCATACGACTGACACTGTCATACAACGTTCGAGGGATCAGAAACCCCCATATCGACATAGCCTCGAGATGGTACCCGGTCTCGAGGATCTTTGTTGCCATAACGATGGGCTCTAAGGGGCTACCCGCATAAACCTTACCTCGGGATGGTGCCCGATCTCGAGGATCCTTCTAGATCCGAACTGGTTCCCACTCGAGGTTTATTAATAAAAGCTTCGGGGCCATTTTTTGCCTGAGTTCAATTCACACACGCTCTCGGTTACTTTAGCCCGGGGGCCATCTTCATTTTAAATTCAAAGCAAGTTTTCAAGGCTACCCGAGTTCGAGTAAACTCTAACTCGGGAACTATTTGAAAAGGCCCGAGGGCTATCTTTATTTTCAGGTAATCAAGCAAATTCATCTCCCAAGAACTACCTATGGGATCTAAAAAGGCTAATCATGATCTAAAAATTCGAGGCCCCACTCTCACTCAGATTCGAAGTCGGAAGTCCCGGCGCCCTAAATTTGTATCAGGTCAATCAGGACATAGTCCGAAGGATGTCAAAGGGTTTTCTTGAAATATCGTATTAACCAATCAAAAACCAAGGGAACGCCCACGTCCGGGCCCGGTATTCGGGCCGATCGATAGAGTCACATGCTCGGATTTTTTTACAAACGTAGGCAAAAGGAAATCCAAATCAAGTCAAAGACAAATCGAAGAAACATCTTTTGTATTGATAAACTACGATTACAAAAACCCACGAAGGGTCCTTACACAGACACAAAGAAACAAAAATGACTGCTAGAAGTCTAATCTACTCTCGAAGGTACATCCTCGGGGGTGACACCTACGAGAACCATTTCCTCGGGTGTCCCATTTCGATCTTCAGAGCGACGCCTTCGAGAATCTCCTCCAAAACAGTAATAGATGAGTAAGAAGGCTATAGCCTATCAAAGAGCAAAAGCTTTTAAAGCCAGAAAAGTTGTGGCTTGGTGAAAAATTTGGCTAGTATAGTTCTTGTTAGCACTACTATCGTGAAGCCACTCCTTGAGACATTGCACCGATGTGGGATGCAACAGTTAGTAGATGACGCCACCTCACTCTGGGGAAATCAAAGGGAGTGAAGCGCCACACCAGGTTGAAGTTAAGAAAGACGAGCAGCAGTTCAAGGACCACATATCCTCTGATGCGGGAATAATTTGGGGCCCCTCTCTCAATATTTCGGGCAAACGACAACAACAACAACAAACCAGTACGATCCCACTCAGCGGGGAAGAGCTCTGAAAAAGAGCCGTGGCATAACTGGCAAAATCGCTGCCGTGTGACCTTACGGTCACGGACTCGAACCATGGAAAATAAAGTTTGGATGAGGAAGAAGAGAAAAAAGGAGTTGAAAGCTATTGAAGAATGATTAGATGGAGTTTTGATTCAATAAACCTCCCATTTATAGAAAGGCAGTAGCGTAACCAACGGCGCAATCAATGCCTTTGGGAAACGTATTGCCAGGCGCAATCAATGCTTTTTGGTGAAACGGATCGGCGGTGAAATGACTGCTTTTGAGAGAATAAACCGACAGTGTATTGAATGCCTCTGAAGATGGATTGACAGGGTGTTTTTAGTCACTTGGAGCAGTGACGTCACAAGCATGATGTCACCACGAGATGTTCAAGAAAGTCAAGAGTCAGGATCGTTTCTTATCATTTTCATTCTAAGAAACGCGGGGACTATCTGTATGCAGTAAAAATCAGAAGACCCAATTTTACGGCCATTGTGATGCTTCGCAAGCACGTCTCCAAAGGCTCGAGGCACGGCTCGAGGTTCGACCCTGAGGGTTCCCGACGTTCGACCTCGGGGCAGTGTAAATCGATGGTTATGATGGCAAAACAGGATGTTCCCAAGGCACTTGATTAAAGCTGACCAAGTCTATTAGGCTATTAAAAGCCCGTACCGTGGCATTAAATGGCTATATCAGTCGCGTATCTTTGTAATAAATGCATCTGTGCCATGTCGGGATTTCCCTTGATATATAAAGGGGACCCTTGTCATTTTGTAAAGGGATATACACCACACAACATTGAATACTAGAACAAGAACATTCTCTGCTCTCTAACTTAAACATATTTTTCTTTGATCTTATTACTTACATTTATTGCTTACATTTATTGTGTTTCATTAATTGTTCTCATTTATTACTCATTATTGATCATAAAGAGCCCTCATCAAGACTCTTAGAACTGTTAGTTCTCCATCGACTTATCAGAGCCCCACGCCTACCTCGACCTCGAAGGCCTCGTATAAGCCAGCTCGAGGCCCCGACTCTCAGTCACTCGGTTTGCGTATCGCGCTATCCTTCAAGCTCTTATCTTACTTCCTAGTCTCACACTTAGCATCTACTGCTTAACAACTAGCATAGAAATAAATCACGTATTTTTAGAACTACAAAACAAAATCTAATTATAATTACCATTTTCACGATAAACAGGCTTCAACTTTGGTTTTAATCTGCTAATGTAACTAGCAATAAAATGAGTTTCATTAGAAGAGGGTTACTAGTAACATGTAGGATTTGAGTTCATCAAACCTTTCTTGATAGCTATCCACACTTCCAGTTTTCTTGTTATTGTTGAACTCATCAGCAATGTCAATGGGTCTGACATTTCCAAATTTGCGACACACCTCGGTAGAAAACAGAGACCAGTTGGTACCCCTTTTTTCCAAGATGTAGCTATCAAACCATATGTCTGCTTTATCCTTCATGTGTACAGATACATAGCTCATGTTACTCTGTTCCGGAATTTGATAGATCTCGAAAAACTGCTCACGCTTCCTTATCCAACCTTTGGGATTGAATCCTGTGAACTCCGGAAAATTGATTTTTGCTTTAAAAGGTTTTGCAGGTGATTCTAGAGTAGGAGTAACGGTTGAAATTGCAGGTAAGGGAAGTAAAGAGGGTTCCAAGGTGGTTAAAGTAGTTGTGGGCAATGGAACAGTACTTGTAATGGTAGGAGTAACAGGGGAGGCTGGAAAAGATAGGGATGTGAAGATTATGGTCGGTAAGCTCCGATTAGGAATAACAGGAGGAAAAGTGAAGCCCCTTCCTATCGAGTAACTCGTAAAAGTCAAAAATGGAGTTACCTGAGCTCCAGAGTTTGATGCATGTCCAGATTCACGGATAACTACTGGTCCTGGAGCTTCCGACGTTGTAAATCTGGGAGATAGAGGTTGAGCAACAGCTCCTGCCATCTTTACTGCATCAAGTTGAGATATGATGAGTTCGAGCTTCCTATTAGTCTCCTGGATCTTGTGCAGCTTCAAGGAGAAATGATTCTGGTTGGATTCGAGCCTCTCAAATCGTTGGGCGTAATGAGTTGCCATAGCTTGAAGCTGGGTTTCGAGCTTTTTCATATCGTCTTCAAGTCCTTTGAATTCCTGAGTTTCCTCTACTTCAGAACTTTCTGCAGAATCGTGCTGCTTTGATACCATTTTCACAGGCTGAGCTATAGAAGATCTTAGTCGTGAAGAAATAGAATTGGAGAAAAGAGAGGAAGAAGAAGAGAGAGTGTACTGTGTAACGACCCGACCGGTCGTTTTGAGTTTTGCACTTTGTTCGTCAGTTCTCGGGCATGACATGCCCCGTGTGGTGTATTATGACTCATGTGATCATTGGTTTTGGTTTTCAGGGTAATCAGAACGAATTTGGAAGAAACAGTTCTCAGTTTGAAGCTTGAGATTTGAAAGGTTTGACCAAGATTTGACTTGTTTGTATATGATTTTGGATCGGAATTTTTAT